AAAGGAGTTGACTTACAACTTTATCCCACTATAGCTACCCGAAATATGGTCGGGCATATATGCACTTCAACCAATCCTTGTTGCAACCTTGGAAAAAAAACCAAACCTATAAATACTCCATCCACCTAGTTGGTGTTGAAACATTCACTCAGACTTTTTCTTATCAAAAACTAGAAAACCCTTTTGTGCATCTTATCGCAGGCAATGTACCTTCTTATATTGTACTTACCAAGAGTACACTACTGTGAGACATTGGGTCGAACTCTAGTGTGGTCGAAGTCTGTTCGCAAGTAATGCGTGTTGTAGTCGAAGTTTGTTCTAACATGCATGAGTAAATATTGCTAAGGTTGTTAGCATGAGTAAATATTGCTAAGATTGTTAGCATGAGTAAATATTGCTAAGATTGTTAGCATGAGTAAATATTGCTAAGGTTGTTAGCATGAGTAAATATTGCTAGGGTTGTTAGCATGTTGAATTGGGTCTTGCTTGTAAGCCCAATTGTTTAAGTTAGCTTGTACCCTAAGTTAGCTTGTAATGGGTAATTGTTAAAAAGCCCATTAAGTTAGTGTGCTATTTTATTATAAATAGGATGCTAGTTTCTCAATTTTGAGATAAGGAAAAATAGGAAGATAAAATCCTAATTTCAAGGGAGAGAGGTTATTTTGTTATTCTTGTATACTTGTAATCTTGTTCTAAGAGAAAGGAAAGAATAGCAGTTTAATAACCAATCCTTGTTGTTCCTTGTTGTTTTACCTTGTTTTCTTTGTTAACCCTAACCCTTGTGAGTTTCTTGATCATTAAGAAACCGTTTATACTTTGTTTAAAGGTATCCGATTCACAACAAATTGGTGCGGTGAGCGTGGAGAAGATGCCTTCAACAAAGTATGAAATTGAAAAGTTCACCAGAGTGAACGACTTCGGTCTGTGGCGCTTGAAGATGAAAGCCTTGTTGGTTCAGCAGGGTTGTTTAGAAGCGTTAAAGGGTGAGGCAGCCATGGACGCTGCGTTAACGGCAAAAGAAAAGACGGGCATGATCGAGAAAGCCCACAGCGCAATATTATTGAGCCTTGGTGATAAGGTTCTTCGACAGGTATCAAAGGAGACTACAGCATCGGGATTATGGGTGAAACTTGAAAGTTTGTACATGACCAAATCTCTGGTGAATCGACTATACCTGAAGCAAGCTTTATATTCATTCAAGATGAGTGAAGACAAAGTGTTGGCTGAGCAGTTGGATATGTTCAACAAGCTGATTCTTGATCTTGAAAATATTGATGTGAAGATCGATGATGAAGATCAAGCACTATTGCTGCTGTGTGCTTTGCCCAGAACACATGCTCACTTCAAAGAAACTCTCTTGTATGGAAGGGAGTCCCTGACCTTTGAAGAAGTTCAATCAGCCTTGTATTCTAAGGACTTGAACGAACGAAAGGAGCATAAACCTTCGACGGTGGGCGAAGGTTTGGCCGTTAAGGGAAAATTCTTGCGAAAGGATGGTAAGTTCGACAAGAAAAAAGGTAAAAGTCAACATAAGTCTTATAGTGGCGAAACATCTAATATTCGATGTTACCACTGTAAGAAGGAGGGTCACATAAGAAAGTTGTGCCCTGAACGCCTGAAAGATCATGGAGGTAATGGCAATGCAGCCATTGTTCAAGATGACTTCGACTCATCTGATGTTCTTGTGGTTTCAAGTGGCGACTCGAGGAAAGAGTGGATTATGGATTCAGGTTGCACTTGGCACATGACTCCAAACAGAGAATTGTTTGAGGAGCTATATGATCAAGATGGTGGATTTGTGCTGTTAGGAAACAACAAATCTTGCAAAATTGCAGGTATTGGATCTGTGAGATTCAAGCTCCATGATGAGTCAATAAGGTTATTGACTAAAGTCAGGTACGTACCTGACTTGAAGAGAAATTTGATTTCTCTTGGTGAATTCGACAGAAAAGAATATGTTTTTCAAGGAGAGAAAAGTATCCTAAGAGTCATGAAGGGGTCGAAGGAAGTCTTGAGAGGCGTGAAGAAACAAGGCTTGTATACCCTTGAGGCTGAGGTTGTAAGTGGTTCGACAAATGTTGCATCCACGAAATCTATGTCGAAGACAGAATTATGGCACATGAGATTGAGCCATGTCAGCGAAAGAGGCCTGGTCGAATTGGGGAAGCAGAACCTGCTAGGAGGTGACAAAGTCGAAATGTTGGAATTTTGTGAATCTTGTGTATTTGGTAAATCCTGTAGGGCGAAGTTTAACAAAGGCAAGCAAAGAACACATGGATCTCTGGATTACATTCATGCTGATCTTTGGGGGCCTGCAAGGAATCCTTCACACTCAGGTGCAAGGTATTTTCTATCCATCGTTGATGACTATTCCAGAAAATTATGGGTATTCATTCAGAAGACGAAAGATGAAACTTTTGAGAATTTCAAAAGTTGGAAGATTCTAGTCGAAACTCAAACTGGCAGAAAGGTTAAGAGGTTGAGAACCGACAATGGCCTTGAGTTCTGCAACGAAGCTTTCGACAGTTACTGTGTTGGGTCTAGGATTGCAAGGCATAAGACTGTAGCAGGTACTCCTCAACAAAATGGCTTAGCTGAGAGATTCAATCGAACAATCCTTGAAAGGGTTAGATGCATGTTGGTTAGTGCTGGATTGAAGAAGGTGTTTTGGGCGGAAGCTGTTTCGACAGCAGCTTACCTGATAAATAGATGTCCCTCGACTGCCTTGGGAATGAAGACACCTGAAGAAGTTTGGTCGGGACATCCACCTAGTCTCGACAGACTGAGAGTATTTGGCTGTGTGGCCTATGCTCATATTAGGCAAGACAAGGTCGAACCTAGAGCTCTGAAATGCATGTTCATGGGATACCCTGAAGGAGTCAAAGCTTATAGGCTATGGTGCCTAGAGCTAGGTCACAGGAGGTGTATCACCAATCGAGATGTAGTTTTCAACGAAGCAGAGATGGCTTTCAAGAAAACTGATGATGCTGACGAAGAGCTGGAACAGGGAGAGATTCCTGTTGAGGTGGAGCATGTTGATGCTGAATTGCTTACCCCAGATGAAGTCGAAGAAGACACAGAAGATGTTGTCGAAGATGAGGAGACTGATAATGACTACCTGCTAGCAAGAGACAGGTCGAGGAGAGTCATCAAGCCACCTCAGAGACTTGGGTATGCAGATCTTATAGCTTATGTCTTAATCTCTGCAAGTGAGGTTCTAGACGAAGAACCTAGAGACTATAAGGAAGTTATGAGGAATCAAAAGAAGACAAATTGGTCTTTGATGTATGCTATGGTCTGTACTAGACCCGACATAGCATATGCAGTAAGTCTTGTAAGCAGGTACATGGCGAATCCTGGAAAGACTCACTGGCAAGCATTGAAGTGGATTTTAAGGTACATAAATGGGTCTTTGAATAGAGTCCTAATTTATGGTGGAACCTTGGGTGAAGATAGTAAAGCAGTAATCGAAGGATATGTCGACTCTGATTATGCAGGTTGTATGGATTCTAGAAAATCTATCTACGGACATGTGTTCACTATGTTTGGGACAACAATCAGTTGGAAAGCAACACTTCAGAAGGTCGTTGCCTTATCAACCACTGAAGCGGAGTATATTGCTCTAACTGAAGCTGTGAAGGAAGCGTGTGGCTTGAAGGTTTTGCAAAGGAGCTAAAACTTCAAGGTCGAGTTATCACTGTTAAATGTGATAGTCAAAGTGCAATACATCTGTCGAAGAATTCAGCCTATCATGAGCGAACCAAGCACATTGATGTGAGGCTGCATTTCATCAGAGGGGTAATCGAGCGTGGAGAAGTCCAAGTGCTGAAAGTTTCGACAGATCATAATGCTGCTGATATGATCACCAAGACATTGCCCAGTTGCAAGTTTTTCCACTGTATGCAGTTAATAAATCTGCATGAAGAAAGCTAGTTTCTTGATGGTATAGAGTTAGATCCAAGGTGGAGATTTGTGAGACATTGGATCGAACTCTAGTGTGGTCGAAGTCTGTTTGCAAGTAATGCGTGTTGTAGTCGAAGTTTGTTCTAACATGCATGAGTAAATATTGCTAAGGTTGTTAGCATGAGTAAATATTGCTAAGATTGTTAGCATGAGTAAATATTGCTAAGGTTGTTAGCATGAGTAAATATTGCTAGGGTTGTTAGCATGAGTAAATATTGCTAGGGTTGTTAGCATGTTGAATTGGGTCTTGCTTGTAAGCCCAATTGTTTAAGTTAGCTTGTACCCTAAGTTAGCTTGTAATGGGTAATTGTTAAAAAGCCCATTAGGTTAGTGTGTTATTTTATTATAAATAGGATGCTAGTTTCTCAATTTTGAGATAAGGAAAAATAGGAAGATAAAATCCTAATTTCAAGGGAGAGAGGTTATTTTGTTATTCTTGTATACTTGTAATCTTGTTCTAAGAGAAAGGAAAGAATAGCAGTTTAATAACCAATCCTTGTTGTTCCTTGTTGTTTTACCTTGTTTTCTTTGTTAACCCTAACCCTTGTAAGTTTCTTGATCATTAAGAAACCGTTTATACTTTGTTTAAAGGTATCCGATTCACAACAACTACTTATTCTAATATCATGCTACATTATTTTATATGTTTTAGTTTTAGACCGTAACAAATGTCTTTTCGTTCAATTATTTGATTTCATATTTTTGTTGGTTAAAATACATAATAGGTTTAACTCTAATAAAATAAAAAAGATGAAGAGCTAATTTACTTGAATTGTATAAGCTTTTTAGGATGTATGAGAGTGCATATACTCTTAAGAGAAAGGTTCCAATATTTACTTGTTGACAATGCATAGCACAATGAGAACAAGACTTCAAAACTTTTTTGGTTTTATGGGCGGTACCAAGAAGACTTAATTGCGTATCAAATTGGGTTGAATAGTCAAACTGATTGTTGCATGCAGTCTATAAAAGGAGAAAACGATACGTTAATAACATAGCATAACTTCATCATTTTCAAGCACTACTCATAATTCACTATGACACCACACATTATTTTTTGGCTTTTCATTATACCAATCAGCTTAATAAATTCCAGCACTAACTATTTTGTGGTGAATGGCCACTGTCTCCGCCATCAGCATTCCTTGTTGCTCCATTTGAAAAACAACCTCATATTCAACCACACGAAATCCTCGAAGCTAGTTCATTGGAACCAAAATGATGAAGATTGTTGCTATTGGCACGGGGTAACATGCAAAGATGGACATGTTTCAGCCCTTGATCTTAGTCATGAGTCTATCTCAGGAGGACTTAATCATTCAACTGCTCTTTTCAAACTGCATTATCTCGAGAGTCTCAATTTGGCTTTCAATAGCTTCCATTCTGTGATTCCTTCAGAACTGCATAAGCTGCAGAATTTGAGGTATCTAAACTTGTCAAATGCTGGCTTTGAAGGACAGGTCCCAAAAGAAATTTCTCACCTCACAAGGTTGGTTATGCTCGATTTGTCTTCTTCAGTTACTTCAAATCACAGCTTAAAACTTGAGAATCCAAATATAGAGATGTTGGTGGAAAACCTCACAGATATCACAGAATTGTATCTAGATGGTGTAACAATATCAGCCAGCGGAGAGGAATGGGGCCGTGCTTTATCTTCACTGGAAAGGCTTCATGTTTTGAGCATGTCATCGTGCAATCTCTCCGGACCTATTGAATTTTCACTAGCTAAGCTTCAGTCACTCTCAGTTCTAAAATTGAGCAACAACAATTTTTCAAGCATAGTGCCAGATTTCTTTACAAATTTCTCCAATTTAACCATCCTACATCTCAGTAGTTGTGGTTTGAATGGTTTTTTCCCAAATGATATCTTCAAAATACACACATTAGAGGTCATTGACATATCAGACAACCAAAATCTTAATGGTTCTTTGCCAGATTTTCCACCACTTGCATCTCTTCACTACATGAATCTTGCCAATACAAATTTCTCAGGACCAATTCCAAATACCATCTCAAATCTAAAGAAGTTATCAACCATTGATCTATCTTACTGTCAATTCAACGGAGCACTTCCGAGTTCAATGTCAGAACTCACCCAACTTTTTCATCTAGACATGTCCTCGAATAATCTCACAGGTCCACTCCCTTCTTTCAACAAATCCAAAAACCTCACATATCTATCACTATTTCACAATCATTTGAGCGGAGATTTACCATCCAGCCATTTTGAGGGCCTTCTGAATCTTGTTAGCATTGATTTAGGATTCAATTCTTTCAATGGAAACATCCCCTCGTCTCTACTTAAGCTCCCATGTTTGCGAGAAATAAAACTTCCATTTAATCAACTCGATGGTCACTTGGGTGAATTGGATAGTGCATCCACTCCGGTATTGGAGATGCTTGATTTGGATAGCAATAACTTACAAGGACATATTCCTGCCTCTGTGTTTAACCTTAGATCACTTCGTGTCATTCAACTTTCTGCCAACAAGTTTAATGGCACAATACACTTGGACGTCATTCGTAAGCTAAATAACTTATCTACAATAGGTCTCTCACATAACAATCTAACCGTTGATGACAACTTCAGAGAAGATCATGATTTGTCACCCTTCCCAGAGATAAGAGTTGTTATGTTGGCTTCATGTAAGTTAAAGAGGTTTCCAAGTTTTTTGAAAAATCGGTCCACATTACTGACTCTTGACTTATCTCGCAACGAGATTCAAGGACAGATACCTACTTGGATTTGGCAACTTGAATCTCTCATTACCTTGAGTCTTTCCAAGAATTCTCTCACTAACTTTGAAGAAAGTATTTGGAACTTAAATTCAAACCTTTATGAGGTTGATCTTAGTTTTAACCAACTGCAAGGGCCTGTTTCTTGCATTCCAAAGTACGTAACGTATTTGGACTACTCAAGCAACAGGTTAAGCTCTATCATACCGTCGGACATTGGAAACTATCTCCCCTTCATACAAATATTGTTTCTTTCAAATAACAGTTTTACAGGAGAAATCCATGAATCCTTTTGCAATTCTTCAACTCTTCGTTTGCTAGATCTTTCCTACAACAAATTTGATGGGACAATTCCCAAGTGTTTTGCAAAACTGAGTAGCAGCCTGAGGATGTTGAATTTTGGAGTGAACAAGCTCCGAGGACATATCCCTGATACTATATTCAGAAACTCATGTGCACTAAGATATTTGGACCTAAATGATAATCTCTTGGAAGGCACCATACCTAGATCTTTGGTCAATTGCACAAAACTACAAGTCCTAAACCTTGGAAATAATGCTTTAATTGACAGATTTCCATGTTTCTTGAGCAACATTTCCACCCTTAGGATCATGGTTTTAAGGTCTAATAAGCTCCATGGGTCTATCAGGTGCCCAAATAGCAATGGTGTCTGGGAGATGCTTCATATTGTCGATCTAGCATCCAATAAATTTAGTGGAATGATATCAGGAACACTGTTAAGCAATTGGAAGGCAATGATGCGTGATGAAGGCATACTTGGGCCAGAATCTGGCCATTTGTTTTTTGAAATCACGGATGACTATGCTCCTATGAGTCTGAAGGCCGTGTTACCACATTTTAGCAAATATCTCCAAGCAAGATTGGTTAAACTTGTAGCAAACATGTCTCGCTCTATCCTTGACCAAGGGTTCGTTGATTCTAATACAGTGGATCTTCAACACGAAGGAAAGAGGTATAGAGTTTTGAGATGGAGGTACTGATTGTGTTGTAGCTCCAACAATTTGTTCTCTTCTATTTTTGGGTTTTGCACTTCTAGCAGTAGTGTCCAAATAAGAATAAAATTGATTGTGTGCATGTTGATACCAATGATAAAGCAGAGAATTGAGTAATTTAAATAAATGTTTGAAAAATAAGCAGCCTGTTCCAGCAGTTGTGTAGTGATTCTTCTTTCAAATTTTGAGAAAAACACTAACAAAATTGAAAAGAGACCATTTCCACACAATATGTTCATTCCTCCTCAACACCGTAGTTTTGTTACTGTCAGATGGTGATGGAACTGGAACCACTACACGTAAATTCTCCGAAATGTGTTCCGACGAGAGAGGGAACTCTCCAAATCCTGCATGATAGAATGATTAGTGCGGGAGACTAGTTATAATTAAAAAAAATGAAGTTTAATATCAACAATAAAGAATAATGTAAGACACCACTCAAATCTACACTACTATTCCATAAAGATTATAATTATCATTAGATTTCGGAGGAGATTGACCTTAGTTAGATTTTACCAAACTTAAGTTTCACGATAAAAAATTTAAGTTTAAATTTGACTTGTAACATTTCAAAGATTTATTTTTAGATACGACTTATTCCTTTTCGAAGGTCGGACTAATCTTAGGCAACATAAAATCCTATTTATTTTAAATATATATAAATAAATAATTTAAATAATATTTAAATAAACTAACAAATTAAAAGATTAACGAGACTAAAAGTTTATTTGCTTTTAACTTACATATTACTTTTAAAAAAATATTCATAATTATTTGAATAGGTTGCCTTCATAGGCTTAAAACACTTTTTTTTTATGGTTTGAGAGTTAATCTTTTTAACTAAATAGCTTTATTATAAAAAAATGTCTTTTTTATTTAAAAAAGGAAATTTTTTAATGTACCTTATGAGTTACTTACACACCACGCGAAAATACTAAGATTTTGGAGATACATCTCCGGACGCACCAAATTCTGATTGAACGTTAAGATATTCTGATTTACTGAGATACATCTTTGTAACGTATCAGAACAGAATGTAACATATTATGTTTTGTTTACGTGTATTCAAATGAAGATTTATAAGCGTTATGTATCACGTTATGTGACGAGATTTAAACCATACAATCGATAAATGTTATATATAAATAAAAGACCAATAAATGTAAAAAAAGTTAATAATAACAATAAAGTAGCGTGATGTTAAAATAAAATACAATCCATTGTACTACTACTATACACTAATGCACTACTGTGTATGTCAGACTACATCTCTTATGCCTCCTCTGCCTCCTCAGGTTCCTCAACCATCTATCCCTCTGTCCTTCGACGCTGTCTCTTGTACATTAATGCCCTCTGTGCCTTCGTCATGATGACATCTACGACCTGCCTCACATTAGACCCATCAGGGAAGATATATATGTCAATGTTTGTTTGCGCAATCTCCACTATGCGACGACATATAGGCAAGACATCCTCAACATGATCTAACTATGTATACTCCTCCTCTAGTATCTCCTAATGAGCTAGCCTCGAAGGATCTCCTGGAGAAGCATGCACCATGTACGAATGTGACACTCTGAAGAGCCATCTGATATATCTGTTGACGTAGCTCTAGTTGCTCACAACGCCTCCTCCGGTACTAGATGACTTTCATAATTATCAAACATGTCATCTATCTGTCTATGTGTTAAAGCAGGAGGAGTAGAGACAACATGGTGTCTGAGAATGGTCTAAGTGTAGTCGAACTGCCGCATGACGTGCTCAGGCAGGTGAGGATCAGTCTGACACAATCCGCAAGACAACTATCTAGAGTATAACACTATCACATCAGATGACTGCGTCTCACGGTGATCGACATAGTTGAAGTGGATGTCCTCGACAACCAAACGATCAAGATACACTCTGAAAGGCTCAATTTCCCGGTTCCCTCTGAGCGGGAAAAAACAGTAGCACGAGGCATATCCTCAGAGTAAGTCGGTACACTCATCTAGCTGAAGATACGCGGGAAGTTCTGGAGGATCCAAGTATGAAATGAAAAGTTTGGAACACACGAATCATCAGTATTGACTTTGCAAAGATGAAGTGAAAATGACACAAAAATATTAAAAGCCCAATAAATATTACTGACAGTAGTGTGATGATGTTTGTGACCTGCTTTCTCTTCCACATACATCCCTCTGATAAATTCGAGTATATGTAGACCAAACAAGCGCCCCTCAACCCGTTCGAAATCCTCGAAGTACCGTAGGTAGGTGACATCTGTATAAGTGGCACTCTTGTCTATAAAAATCACAGTGTCAACCAAATATAATAGGGATGCTCTCATAGCATGTGATTTGTGGAGCACCACTTGCTCATCATGACCTGTACCATGTTGTGCTCTCAGGATCTCAGTTCTATATACCTTTTTCAGGTATTCAAACTTATAATGAGCACCCCTGGTTCTATCCAACTCCTCATTTGCCTCTGCTACGTCAACCCCAATATGGTCCTCGTCTTTGGTAATCCTCCCATGATCTAGAAGTCTTCCCCTGATCGGAAGATGTAGCAAACGTGAGACATCGTCGAGTGTAATAAATATCTCACCAAGCGGGAGATGAACTGACGAGGTCTACGAGTGTCATCTCTCCATTAATGCATTATGTATCCCGTGGTTGACCGTAGTATAACTGGCCATGCATAAGTCCTTCAGACCAGATAAGGACAATGCTACCTAAAACCAATCCTCATTCGACTGAGGCAAGCCAATAATCTTCTGTTTGTGGTTAATAAACTTCAGCAGATCATGGCCCTAAAAATAAAATATAAAAAAATATCAAAAACTTGTTAATTAAAATAAACGTAAATAAAAAAGAATCAATCCAACTAATGTTACCTCTTCGTCTCAGATATGTCTGATAGTATAGTTTAGGTATATAGGCAATGGTGACAAATCTACAAGGTCTTCTCTAAATTCCACTAGCTCAGCATCCACAACAACCTCATCCTCCGGAGCTAGATCTGGCTCAGCACCATCACCAGTAGGAGGTGGCACTGGCTTAAAAGTATTTACAATATCTATAGTATGAGGTGGTAGTGGTGCCACCGATGCCACTGGTGACTCGGGTGCCTCAGACACATGAATAATTTAACCCTAGCGCATGCAGAAGGATGGAAGGATTGATGTGCCGGTAGGTGAATCTCATCTCCTACGACAAGAAGAAGATGGAGAAGCATGGGGAGAAGCACCATCCCCAGAAGTAGATGGCTATGCATGACTAGAGGGACCAAGAGTCTCCAAAACCTGCTAGCTCTTCTCCTACTGCATTGATGCGTATGGTGAAACCCTCATGTGCCTCAGCTTATCGTGTCTATCAGCCATTATACCCGTAATTTAAAGTAAACAAGAAAATTAGTGCAAACAAACAAAAACACGAGCAAGAAAAAAAAACTGAGAAAATTATGGAGATGCATCTCCAAAATTTTCTGTAACCAAAACTACATCAATGGCGCCAATGTACACATGCAATCACAAAAAATAATGCTTGCTCATCCTTTTCAGCCAACAAATGTGTTTTACACTATGTCTAAACTATCATACATGCAATTTCTACTCATTTCTAACCTTAATAATCAATTTCTACTCATTTACACAAAAACTCAAAAACTTATCAAAACATCAAAAAAGTTACAAATTTTAACTTTGTTTCAGTGTTAGATGATGTTTCTAATGTTGATTGAAGTTTCATATGTTGTAATAAAGTTTGCAAATTTCATATACTTTCTCTATAGAACTGGAGTACCCAAGTCAAAGTGTGAAATAGTTTGTCAGTAACATGTGAGTCTGCATTCCTTTTGTTTTCTTGTCTTCGTGTTTCCTTAATTGAAACATATTTACTTTCTATCGTTTTATTTGATGTTGTTTATTGCAAGTTTATTTTACTTTAATTCAAGATTTTTATTCATTAAAGTTTGTCTTTATCTTGTTTGTACACAGATATTCATAGTCATTTTATATACATAATTTCTTGTAAACGTCTTTTCAAAAAATTTCTCCCGAGATTTCTCGAGTTAATCTCATAGACTTTTAAACTCGTGATTGTTTGTTAAAAACACATATGAACAAATTGGCACACCCAATGGGACCTTTTGTGAAAGAAAAAAAAACTTATTTTCTTTTGCAAGAAATTATTAGAAATCTTTGTGTTACATGAAATGTTTTCAATGTCCGGAGTCATGCATTTGAGAAGTCGTAGGATCTTGGCATAAATGGTTACCCAAGAAAATACTTCTCATGCCCAAAATGATGATCCATACCCTAAACCAACAGTCACTTCAACGGTTGGTACGATATGGAATTTAAACCCTGTCAGAGTCATAAGCCCAATCTGAAGCACCATAGCGATTTCAATGTTAATACCAAAAGTATTTGTTTCTTTACTGCCAAAAACAAACATTCCAACTACACCTAGGCCTACTTCTATAGCTGTAGGGGACCCTAATCCCCCTTATGTCCCAAAATTTACCCTATCTTTAGTTACTAGGGATTACCCATATGGCATGCCAACAACCATGATTGGAGGGTTACAAAGTTATACTTCGGCATTTGCAGATAACGCTACAATGATATAATCACCCCTCAATCCAAATTTAGCGTCAGAATCTTCCATAAGCAACCCTGGTCGGATGGCACAACCATGAAGAGAATTTTGACATGTTCCTCTAGGAATGCCAACCTTAACTACCAATTCTTTAGCATCCATGAGGAAAAAATGGATGGTGAACTTATTAGTACAACAAATACCTACTTTGTTTCATCCTCTAAAATAGAATGCCACCCAGAGTTACTAGCAGTTGGCGTATCAGATGGGTAGAATTGCGAATTTTTTAGGCGTCTCCGATGCGAGTTATGCCAAAAAAAATTCAGAAGATAAACAAGTTTCAAGTTCAACATTTCTTTCAAATATCAAAAGCATCAACTAATTATCATGATCAATATCTGGAAGTGA